TTTTACCAACGGAGCCCCAAACCGAGAAGCACCTAGTTCCGTATCCTTTCAATTTTTCATTGGAACTGACACTTAAACTCTTAGACGATTTTCCTCCTTATTCTTTTAAAAGCTGTATTTTAAGTTTACCATGAACGTATTTTCGAGCTGACAAAAGTGTTTCAAGGCAATGTCGCCATCTTTAGCGGAAAAACTACCTTTCCCAGAATGCATTTCCCTTATATAAGTCCATAATAATATCAGTCCCTTAAATCAGTCCTTTATATCATTTCCCTTATATCAGTCATTTCCCATAGTTCTTTTTGGGTCTGAGAGTCAACTTCTAAGTTCTTTTTTACCAGACTTACTTACAAATTCTTGCCCGGGAGGTTTGAACAAAGTTTTTTGCTTTTGCAATGGGAGATTTGAACAAGCATTTTACATTTTCAATTATGGAACATTGGGAGGTTTCTGGTCTCTCCTCAGCTGGCTTTAACAGGTGTCTCTCCTTCATTTGACACTGGCCCCCAAATCAGAACTGCACCTGCCTCGTTAGCGCGCATTGAGGTGGGCAATTTCTGATAGCAACTTTCCTCGGGGCTTGTGTTTGTCTTAGCCAGTCAGTGAAAAACAAGATCACATACAACAGCTTTTCCATAGCTCCTTCAGAGAGATTTTTCTCCCACTGATCTCATTTTGCTTGTTCCTTCCTTCCCCAGATGCAGAGTTTCAGGTATCTGTCTGTGGCTCTGTTCCTCTGCTAGCTGCTTTTGGAGGTAGGGGCTTTTTTTCTTCCCCTGAATCTGCCTCAAATTCTAGCAGCTTTTCACAGGTCACATATTTTCTGGGGAGGATTATGTCCCTTCTGTTTCTTTGGAGTCTTTCCCAGACAGTTCCCAGTTTGGTCTCAGTTTATCCCCTCTACCCCAGAAACAGTTTCTGACACTACAATGGTGGCTTTCCCTGCTCCTGAAGGTAGGGGCTTTTTGTCCATTTCTGTTTTGGGGGTCTGTGTGGTTTGCGTACAGACTGAAAATCTAACAAGGGAGGTTTTTGACATCTCTAAACTCCCATTAGGACAGGTGTTTTGCCTTATCAGGCCTTCACCTGGCCCATTCCCCCAGTGGGTTGCATTTGCTTGTCTGGGTGCTCAAGGACAGAGCTTATGCCAGAGGCAATCACCCCTCAGGGCTACACTCCCTCATCTCAGGGAGTCAGTTGAAACAAAGCTTTTCTCAAAGAGGTGCTTTCTCTGACAGAAAAGAAAGCTTTACTCCTGGATAGTTCTGTCGTGCCCTGGCTGGGCTTTTTCCCCAGACAGTGTTCTGACTCGGCAGCACAACTGCTTCAGACACAGTTCAGCTTTACTGTTTTCCCAGAAAGGTCCTTACTCTAATAGGAAAGCTTTTTCTCATTTCTTTTTGCAGCTGTGGACCTATCAACCCGGGACTTGTAGGAAAGTGGACAACTGTGCCGTTCCCACTGGCTTTAGTTTTGTTTGTTCATTAGCAATCTTCCTGCCTCAGCTCTGTGCTCCAGGAAGTTTGCAACTGCAGGAACCCTAGTATCCCCGAAATGCACTCCAACTCAGAGATGCTGGCCAGTCGCCTCTGGGTTTTTGGTCAGAAGCGAGGATACAATGCTTCAGGGAATCGTTGCATTAGGATGATTAGGAGCACCTTTTCAAAGATGCTCACTCAAACAAAACCCTTGATGCCTCAGCTCGGCTGTAACTGAAAAGCTTGGCTTTTTTGCTTTTCCCAGTAAAGTTTCCTGCCCTTTTGGGCTCTCTGTAGCTCTTTACCCACACTCTCCCAAGCATTTCCCTCAGGGTACTCTGACCCACTGCCTTTTACCAGCTTGAAGAGACAGAGCTTAGAGGTTTTTAGGAACTTGTCCCTGCCTCCTGCATTGCAGGGAGGATTTTTAAAGCTTGAAAGAGAACTTAGGTTTTGCTGTCTTAAGAGGTTTGTTGTTTTCCCTTAGAGCTAATCACAGTTGGTCCCCATACTAATATCTTCAGGTGATTCTAATTTTTGCCCTTTTGAGAAAGTTAAAGGCTTTAGTTTTTAAGTTTAAGAGCTTTTGAGAAAGATGAAGGCTTTTTAGAGAGATTTTTTCCCCCAAATTTTCCAAGAAAAGCTTTATAGTTTGAGAAAGATTTTTTTCCCCAGGAGAAAGACCAACTTTTCCCAAAACTTCCCAACTTTAAACTTTTTGGCTTTTTACACCTCCATTTTTGCCTCAGGGAGAAATCACTTTCTCCTGCCGCTTGGACTTAGCATTTCAGCTGTCCCCAGGTCAAAAGCTTCCATAGGAAACTTTTTCTTCCCCATAAGCTCAAAGAAGAGCTTTTTTACTACCCAAAAAGCCCAAAGAAAGATTTTTTTCCCAGTTTGCATTCAGAGCCCCCAAAGTTAGAAAATTGTAGAGTTTTTCCTGTCTAGTTGCCTTATTTTTTCTACACAATCTTACACTTCTAAGTTTTTCCTACACTATATTACTACCCTATGCCTTATACTTATTTTTTCACAGATAGAAATTGAGAAAGCGATACAAGATAGAAAATTTTGACAGAAGAGAATTTCGCTGCAGCATCGGACATCCTTCCAGTCTGCTTTCCTTTTCTCTTGAGGATAAAACCCCTGCCTCTCAATGTATATAAAAAATATATATTTTCCATAACACCGGCATGCCTTATCCACTGGCAGGGCTGACTCAGCACTTTCGCCAAAAACTCTGTAATAAAACTATTATTTTCCTTTATCTTAGTCCCTATTACTTTGTCTTTAGTCCCTGTTCATTTGTCTTTAGTCCCCCCCTTTGTTTTAGTCCCCCTTTTTCTCTTTAGTCCCTTTTTTTTCTTTTTTCTTTAGTCCCTGTTCATGGCGCCATTCCGTGGGGCGTTTACCCAACTACCCCCACAGTTCCCCAGAGTTTTCTTGAGTGTGATCAGCAGGAAATATTAGATAGAAGGATTTATTGTGAAGAATATCGCAGAGATAAACAGATAGAAAATAAAGGATAGCCTCGAGAGGGCCTGGAACCTATTCCAACGGGCCCCAACTGTCTCTGCCCCAGGGTTTTTATAGAGACGCCAAGGGGTGGAGCAAAAGACCTCCTCCCCCAGCACAGCCAAGTGCAGACCATCTCAGATACCTGCACTCAGGCCCGTGGTCTAATCATCCTCTATGAGGACCTGCTTGGTAAAGCCACGAGGAACCTGAGAACGGGCTCCCACACATCCCCTTACATATGATACTGCAAACTTTTTTTTTCACGGTTAAATCCAAACAGTAAATTTCTAGCTAACAAATACACACGTTTCAGCCTTTGACAGTTACAATAAAATTGTTAATCAAAATCTCTTATAGAGGGAACTTCTGTTATAGTCATGGAGTTTAAGGCTTCTTATACTCTTATCTATAATATATTGAACCTCAATACATAGGTATACTACGTAAATACAACTATGTGACAGCAGAGACAGGGTATGAGAGCTTAGTGCTCTGTAAACCATAATTCATTTTGATTTCCCAACTTCCCATGAGTTCCTGACTTGACTATATACCTGTTCAATCTCACCTTCAGATTCATCAATGTAAAAGAGTACATCTTCAAGGTGAGTGGCCTCCTTAGTAGTCTATCAACTTTCCTGTTTGAAATAGTTCTTGTGAACTGCCAATTCTGGCACCTGTGGGAATTCAATGACAACATTTTGCAGTTTGTGACCTTGGACTCTGGGAAGCTTATTACCTTAAGAGTTCAATGTCTTGGGACTATAATCAAGATGCTGGTGCACAATCCTATCAATTCCACCTGGACCATTTTACCTTAAATTCAGTATGCACAGAATCTGAAATTAGGAGCTCTTTTGATGAAGCCTGTAGTTCTGGTGTTCAGCATGATGGCCATCAAGTTGAGCTGCATGAAAAACTCACCTGTTGAGATTTAGATATACTGCTACAAGGTCTGTGCCTTAGTTTTGTGTGTTATCAGCCTCTTCATATTTGTCTCAGTGAGGAGGAACTACATGGTATATCTTTATGCTAAAACTACTCTTGACTTTCTGCCTGATGTTCCTGTTAAAAAAGAAGCCTTAATAAGCAAACAGTTTATAGGCATCTTCTCATTAGGTGTCATGAAAGTCACCATGTCACTCTTTGGAGTGACCGTGATACTCTATGAAATAAGTTCTTTAAAACTACAGATTCAGGTGAAAACCAAGTGTGCCTCCAAAATTTCCAAACAAAAAGACTTAAGGAGAGATCTCCTGCATTTGCAATATCTCTTTGAAGACTCCTAAAAGAAATTTCATATTTACACACAAAACCTGTGTAGACATCAATTGTTCTAAATAAACCAACAGCTTGGTTCTCTGAGTCTTTCTAAACTATTTCTTCCTATACCAGTCTAATGTTCCTTTCTTAAATATTTTCACATCTTAAACTCTGAAGGCCATGATCATGCGTTCATATATTGGCAACCAGCAGTAGGAGGCAAAAGTAATTGTGAAATATGTTTTGCAAAAATGAACACAAACAATACCAAGTGAAATCTTTTTATAATGAAGCTGACACCTAAATACAAAAAAGCAAACACATTCTTGTGCAATGATAGGTAAGTCCTTATGTCTATTGAGGGCAGAGCTGGAATTCATAGTTTTGTATCTCTAGACAGTATGTGCTGTTTTCAAGAAGGAGGAAGCCTATGCAGTACAATGGGCAGTGGACTTCTCCTATCTTTATGATCGTGAAAAATCACAAATGGCTAGGCATTTCTAGTGTACTCTGATCAAAAAGTGGTATACAGATCAGAGGATAGTTTATCCAAATTTGCTTTTTTGTTTTACATTCTGAATCAATGCATTCAAACTCATATTATTTTGATATGAGTAACATAATTACCTACTGACCAATCCCACCAACACAAACATGCTACTTTAAATCCTTTGTTCCCATATAATGAAAGCCATTAAATAGTGAAAAAGAAATTTATGTCAGGTCTATAATTATCCATACTCTTTAACAGTCACAAGATTGTTCAATAGTCTGAAGTCTCTTTTGTCACACTCAGGGAGTTTTTCAACTGTGAGAACTTGGTCCATCATAAATTGAGTCATATACTTCTAAACATAAAAGTACAGAGTAAATATTACTGATATAAAAGGGAAGAAAGGGGACAAAGCAAGCGAACAGGTGACAGAAAAAGACTTGAACCCATGAGGGTAAGCCCTGAGTCCAACAGCTCCAAGATTCTCATCTATTAATATGAGGTAGGCATTTGGGCTTCAAAGAGCTTAAGGATACATTGCCTTCTGTCATTGCTGGGTGAATCATACGATTTCTTTCTTGAGATGTCTGTTACATACATGCATCTTTCCATGACAGGTACCACATATTTCTGGCATCCCCATCATCCCAGGTATCCACTGGAGCATGGGCTTCTCCTTTATACCTTCATGTGGGAGGCTTTCTGCAGAAAGTTTTGCTCTGAAACACATTATCTCAAAATGTCATTCAAAGTTATATTACCCTACAATATTGGATCTTCCCTTTCTGCAAATTCAGTACCATGTGGACCATGACGCCAAGTTTTTTGTCCATCTTGATATGGACCTGGCTCTGTGGGTTATTTTGGTTTTTATTAACTTAAAAAAATCTAGAGTCATCGAAGAAGAGTATAACCTTGCAGTGATGGTTATTTTTTTGTTAGTTTGATACAATCTATAGCCTTCTGAGTAGAGGGAATCTCAATTGAGAAAATGTTTTCATAACATTGTCTGTGGGGAAGTTTTAGACCATATTCTTGATAGATTATTGGTCTTTTAATGTACAGGCCTTGAGGGTGGTGCTCTGTGGTGATATTTTATTTGAGCTCTGACAAATAAAGCTTGCATGGGGATCAGAGGAAAAAGCCAGCAACTATATTAAACATAGAGGTCAGGCAATGATAGTACGCATCTTTAATCCTAGCATTCAGGAGGCAGAGATTCATCTGAATCTCTGCGAGTTCAAGGCCACATGGGAACAGAGCCAGATATGGTGGCACATGCCTTTAATCCCAGAACTAGTTAACTATAGATGTCTAGAGGTCTCTACAGACAGAGAGGAAGTGAATGTAGATCAACAAGGGACAGACAAGGTCATCCTTTGCCATTGCCATCAGGAATTTCACTGAGGGGCCTCTTGTAGACCCCCTGACAAATTTAGTTCAGTCAGTCCTTTCCCGCCATCATAGAAGAAATCCCTTCCCAGAGCAAGTAAAAAACCAAATGCCAATTGTAAAAAAAACATACTGCTTGTGGTGATAGAACAGCTATAGCACAGAGAACAAAAAAGTTCAGGAGAAACCATAAAGCAGTTTTTTGGCAAACTTCTATAAATGAACAAAGACCAAAATTAAAAATAAGAATAAATGACGTTCTCATTGAAGGTCTTGTAGACACAGGTGCAGGTGTAACAATAATTGCACCAGAATCTTGGCATCCATATTGGCCTCCTCTGGAGGTAAATATTCAGCTGTTAGGGACTGGAACATTATCTCAAGTGAAACAGAGCACAAGATACATCAAATATATATGGCTAGAAGGACAGAGAGGAAAATTAAAGCCATACATGGTTAATATAGCTATGAAATTATATGTCCATGATTTATTACCACAATGGAATACCCAGATTAACATTCCTCCAACCTCAGAAACAAACCAAAAACTAACATATTTTTCACAGAAAAATATTAGAAGTCATTATAAAGAACATTTACTGACAATTCAGTATGTACAAGAACAGGACACAACAGCTGCTGATCTTTCAAAGACACAAACAGCCCTAACTTTAAAATGGATAACAGACAAGCCCATGTGGGTTCAGCAATAGTCTTTAACAACAGAGAAACTACAGGCCTTAAAATGGCTGGTACAAGAACAGTTAAATGCTCAGCTTATTGAGGAATCAACCACCCCTTGGAATTCTCTTGTATTTCGTTTAAAAAATAAAATAAATTTTCTAAATGGAGAATGGTAACACATAAGGGCAATTAACAAGGTATATCAGCCAATTGGCACTCTAAAATCTGGAATTCCTTTGCGTACTCTGTTACTTAAAGGATGGCTTCTTACACTTATCAATTCAAAAGACTGTTTCTTCTCAATACTCTTACGAGAAAAAGACAGAGAAAGATTTGCCTTCATGGTGCTTATTTATAGTTCCCAGCCAGTGAAGAGATACCAATGGATGGTTCTTCCATAAAGAATGTTAAATAGTCCAACCTTGTACCAATATTTTGTACAACAGCTCTTGGAAGTAATATGTAAACAACTTCCTAAATCTATAATTTATCATTCCATGAACAATATTTTACTACCTGATCCAAATGCAGATACCTTAGAAAGAATGTTTGAAGAAGTAAAGAAAATTTTGCATTGTTGGAGATCACAAATTGCTCCTGAAAAGTTACAAAAAAGAGATTCTATTAATTATTTAGGATATAAAATAGGTCTACAAAATACTGGACCCCAAAAGGTGCAAATTAGGATGGATCGAATACAGACTCTTAATGACTTTCAAACATTATTTGGAGACATTTCCAGTCTATGGACCACTATTGGGGTAAAAAATGCTGAACTGAGTAATTTTTTCAAAGCCTTAGAGGATGATAAGGACTTAAATAGTCCAACATAATTATCAGCTGAAGCTGAGAGAGAATTAGCTTTGTTGGAAAAGAAAATACAGGATGCACATGTGAAATATGTGGATCCAAAGCTTGACTGCATTTTGGTTATTTTACCCTCTAAGCATTCTCCTATAGGAATTTTAATGCAGAAGGAAGATATTATAAGAAGTGATAGAGTATGGAAGAAAGAGGAAGTGATGTAGCTCGAAGGAGGGTGGAAGTAAGATGGCAGGACACAGAAACATGTATAGGCATGAATATACAGGAAGTACCTCTCTCTTTGGCTGAACAATTCCTAGTGGTAAGACGTGGCTGGTTTGCTCTCTGATCTTTCAGTTTACACCCAATACCTGGCTCTGGCTTTTTTATAAATAAGACCACTTAGCAATTTCTGCTACAGTGTCCCATTTAGATAGGGCAGCACGTGTTATAAATGAAATGATGGTGAGTTACCTTCAATGAACAAGCAAGCGAGTAGAATTTCTCCATAGTCTCTACATCCATTCTTGCTCTAGGTTAATACCTTGAATGCTGACCTAAGTTCCCTCAGTAATGGATTGGTAAGTTTCTGCTCTGGCTTTCTCTGGTAAGCAATCCCCTCCCCAGAATCAAGTGCACTTATGGCATATCCACTTTAAACTGAGTAGCATAAGATGTTCTTTTCAGGTTGAGCTCCCCAAAGTCTTCCTACTAGAGCCTCCATAATTCTGCCTGCCTAGATCTTGTCACACAGATCTTCCACTGCCAAACTGTGCTGAATTCCACCTGAACTACATCTACCTGTGCCATTGCTGCTCCCCAAGGCTATCTTGGGATGCAGACAGCTCACTATCTTTTCCTGGAGATCTTCCTTGAATCACTTCTGCTAACCAACCCGGCACATAATCCTAGGCCTAGGATCCATAATATAGCCCCTGCACATGCTTTCACAGTTTAGTTCCCCCAATGCCCAGTTTGCCTATGCCACTATTATTCTTCCAGGACTGTTTCTATCTTATCATCTTCAAGCTTTGTATGATGAGTTCCACAGACCTGGTAGTGTCATGCCCACCCTTCCACACCTGACTCCAATCACACAGCTCTTTCACTGGATTTCCTCATGAGTACCCTTACTGATAAGCTCACATTTGCAATTTTCATATGTAGATGCATAAATTGAAGATTGGCCTTGACTTGTGACCCTTCCCTGACACAAACATGCATAGGCCATTAAGTGCCTCTCAGCAGCCCTCACTCAGTCATGTAACTTCTGCAACAGCTTTCCCAAGTGATATATCCTGGAAAGAATCACACCTGTATAATTAGAATTTTCTTTGGACTGCCAACCATCTCCCAAATAGAGACACTGAGACTTATTAATTATGGGCCATGGCTTAGGCTTGTTCTACTTAATGTAACCTGTTTCTATTCACCTATGTTTTGACTTGGGACTTTTTTTTCCCTTTCTTTCATTCTGTATGTCCTACTTTTCTGCTCCCTCCATATCTGCCTGGCTGGGCCCTGACATCTCCCTGTCTTCTTTACTTTTTCCCATTTTCTGAGCCCAAATACCTCTTCCTATTACTCTCCCTACCCCAAAATTCTGCCTATACCTCCTCCATCACTATTGGTCATTCAGCTTTTAATTAGAACTATCAGGTGCCTTAAACAGGCCAGGTAAAACAGAAACACATGTTTGCATAATTAAACAAATGCAACATGTTTTTACATACTTAAACAAATATATGGCAACATAAAAAATACAATACATCTTTAAATAGTTAAACAAATCCAACACATCTTTACATAGTTAAAAAAATAAAAAGCATATTTGCATAATTAACCAAATATTCCACAACATACCTGGGCTATGTACACACTCCAAGAACTAGATTAACATGAGCAGATCACACATCACAGAGCAGGCTCACCTAATGATGTGTCCCTGAACTTCATTCTCCAGTTTTACTCCTCATACTCCTTTGTCTCATAACAGAGAAATCACATAACAGCTTTGCCTTTGTGCTCCAAAAAACTTACCCCTCCAGCACAAGCCTCATAGTCCTTGGCCCAGTTTTGATTATACAGTTCCCACAGTAGCTTTTCCTGGTCAGTTTCCAAAGAAGCAAGTTGTCCTGTGTCATTAACCACCAAGTTATGCTCTTCTGTGCCTGTTGACAGTTACCAAAACCTCATCTAATAGTAGTGGCTCTAGACACAATTTGGCTTGGTAGTTTTTATACCAGCTTTCCTTGGTCCTTTCTTCAGAACCAGGCTTTCCTATGCCATCTCCACACTCTCTAAAATTAACAGAGGAAGCAGAGATCATGGACTGATTTGCATTATCATAGTCGGCAGCACATCTACTGGCAGTGTCATCCCCACACTCCCAGGTTTAGTAGTCTATATCCAGAAGGGCAGATTTCAAAACTGGTTTGCCTTGTGTTCTCCAAATAATCTCATCTGCCAGCACCA